CTTCGAGACACTCTTACACTCAGCTGCCCTATGAGAGGGCCCTGTGCAGTTAAAGCACAGATGTTTTGTAGCTAGAAACTTTTTCCTGTCCTCGAATGTCAAAATTGTGTCACACTCAGCAGATCTAGGACTCTCAGAACTACAATATACACACTTTCGAGAACTTTTACTTATCTGATACGACTTCTGTTGCGTTGAGAACTGATAACCGCCTTGTCGCCGATCTTGTTTCTTCCTCCCATCATCTGGTTTCTGTGCTTCGACTGGATTCCTTCGAGTCCAATGTTGTAATGCTTCGGTTTGTTGAATATAGTCCCATTTCTCCCAGTCTGGGTCGTTCCGTACTAAATCACCCCGTATGTTTGGCAATTTGTCCAATGTCATGGCAACAGTTCCATTCACAGCTTCCAATGTCTCAAGCAACTGTAACAATATGATAACTTCTCATAAAATTCATGTATCCTTTTAGGATTTGATGTTGCCGTATATGGAAGTTCGAGAATCTCCTTGACATATGTTTTTACTATCTCGCTTTCCTTACCAAATCTATTCTTGAGAATTGAAACCGCTCTGTTGTAACCCTGTGCAGTAAATGGAAGAGCCTCAACCGCACGTTTTGCTTTGTCGCATAGCAACTCTCTCAAATATGTGAATTTTGTTACCGGTGGTACATTTGTTTTATCAATAGTCTCTGAAAATTGTCCCCAAAATCTCTGCCAGTCTCCATACGATCCATCAAATATTGTAATTGTCAATTTCGGTAGTTTGGCTTGCAAATTTGGAATAGGAATCTCACTTGAGGTCGGTTCTTTTGATGATTCTTTGTTTATTTGTTGAGCTTGTAGTTTCATCTTGGCCTCATGAAGTTCCATTTCAAAGTCTAATTTCTTTTTCTGGTCGCTATATTCACGTTTCTCTCGCGTTTCGTTCAACCACTGTTCTAAAATAGTAATTTTCTTGTCGCCCTCGTTTAATTTCTCCTCTATTTCACCGATCCATGTGTCAATCTCGTCGCTGTTTTCCTTAGCTGTAATTTTCTCTGCTTCGATCGTTCGTACTAGTTTATTGACTTCGTTTATTATCTCTCTCAATGTCTCGACATGTCTCTTGATAGCACTCTCTTTTGCAGCTTGTAATATCGTTTCTGTTTCGTCCCTAGCTCTTCCGAGTTGTACAAGTTTTGTCGCCAATTCAACACTTGATTTCGAGTCGTTTTCTTCTGCCATATTGCTGTGTATTGTATTCGTTGTTTACATAAAAATCTCCATAAATCCTGGTCGGAGGTGCCAAGTGTCCTGAATTCTCGCCTCCCTGAGAAGTATCCAGGGCAAATCACGATAACAAAATAATAATAACTTTATAATAACTTTATAATAATAATAAAATACAAATCTCTCTCACTGATTTCTCACTGTTTCTCTCTCGCTGGTTAGTCTCGCATGCTTGTTAATCACGGGAACCAATCACAAATATGTCAATGTTCGTATTGGCTTCGTAAAGCTCCGTAATGAGCCCAGTTCGCTACAGTCTTTATTTTGTGCCCTAGCCTGCGAACTCACCAAACGTTTTCCGACCGGCACCCACCCAATTCCTGTGGCCCAAGTTGAGCCACTTTAGTCAAGCCGCAAGAAATTTCACAACCTGGGAGAAATAAAAAAATTAACTTTTCCAAAAACTTTAAAACGTTGACTTTTTTCTATGCCTCGCATGCCTCGCACGCCTCGCAGTTTGTCGAGACCCTTGAAATTTCAACCCCGGGGTTGAACTCAGCCTTGGGTTGAAAATTTTGTCATGTAATCGCGCGTTTGATTTTGATAGAGTTTTGTATTACAGGCAGGGCTGAAATTTCAACCCTGTAAACAGGGCTGAGTTTAATCCCGGGGTTGAAACTGCTCCATGTAATCGGCCCCTTACAGTGTTTTGCAAAATTTAAGCGATTTTTATACCTTTTTTGCAAGTTGAAAGCATATTTTTATGGATACACGGCGTTTATGGACATCCCACAGGAAGAATATCAAATTATAATGACTCGAGTAACAAAAAATCGAACGTAAAGCACTGAGGTTATTTGACACTCGTATCGAGTATGGCACACGGTATGAACAGATCAAGCCAAAGCGAGTCTGAAATTTTATTTACCGAGAAGATTTTGAAAATGAAGACTATAATCTTGAAGTTAGGGACCGGTCATTATTTATGATGGGGGGTGGCACTGAAGAGAAAAGGGTTGGGTAAACTAAATTTTGAGTAAGTAAAAGGTTGGGTAAATGAAAAACAAAACAACTCAAGGGTTGGGTAATAAAAAATTATTGTCATTTCCAAAGCATGACTCACTGAAGTATTGGGGACTAAAAAGCAATGGCAACAGTAGGCCCTACTCTGGGGCGATAACGAGATAATGCGAGTTTAAGCAATTTTAGGTGATTTAATTTAAGCAAAATCTGCAATTTAAGCAATGCGAGTTTGAGCGATATAGGGCAATGTAAGAAAACAATTAAAATTTTAGGGAATGCTGTTTTAGGTGTTTAGAGGTATTTTCAGGAATATACAACTATATCCATGATGACTCCAATGAAATTACCATTAACCTATGCCAAGCATCCAAACATGAGTGTTCCCACAAACACACACACATGCAGTGTATGAAGCAAAATATACCATTTAACAAAAAAAGTTGAAGTCTGCTTGAGGGGGTTCTGGAAACAAACAATACACTGTATGCGCATGACGATCAAGTGTTTAAAGGGTAAATAAGTTCAATATTCATGACTTTTTCCATCCATTGTCTATTTCGAAGCCATTGGGGTATTATTAAATTCATGACACAACTATAATACACGACCACATGTTCACATCATATGCAATTACAGTAATTACAAACAATTTTCAAAGGAGTAGGGTACAGAATTGCAATATAACAATATATAAGGAAATTATACATGTCATGAACTTACCAGTTTGTGTTGAGTTAAATTTAAAAATTTTTATGACATCAAATATTATTTATTTATTTGCAAATCAAAACATTTTAAAATTCTCGTGTTTTGTTTTGTTTTGTTTTGTTTTGTTTTGTATTTCGCCCGCGATATATTAATGGTATTAACCGCTGTGAATATGATATACATTTTTAATACATTACATTTGCGCTCAAAAGTTCAGGAAGTGAGTTTCTAGAAAGGATGAAAACTCCCTTTTATATATGATTTGTAAAAGGTAATCGTTGTTTACTGTTTATTTTGTATTCAGGTATGCGGAATTTAAGCGATGAGAGTTGCAAAACTTGCAAATGTAGTCTGACTAGTTTCTTTGACGTCATCATGCAACTATTTAATATTGTGCTACATTCATTATTCAATTTATTCGCAGCAATTAGCCTTCTATAAGCCATACAAATGATTATAGCTTATAGCCCACCTTGCCTTTAACATTGATCCTATATATAATGAATTAACATAACTAACTTGATTATGTTGCTAGTCGAGTATGGGACCTATGGGTCTTCTAGATCCTAGAGTAGCACAATTAATATAAAGTCTCCGTAAGGCGGTAATATTAAAGACTGTTCTTATTTATGCATGACCTTTGACTATTAAGTAGCCAAAAATTGTGCCTACAGTAATCAACTTATTCCACTATCCAGGTAGCCTGCATGGCAGGCGGTCTAAAATACCGCCTGCTGGGTTTGGCAGTGTAATTTGATAACCGCCCACTTTTTTGTCCGGATCCAATTAGCCAATCAGCAAACACTAAATATATTAATAATCAAACTGTCAAACTCTGCTGTCAATTAAACTATGTTATTGTTTGGTCGCAAACTGATTGCAAATGTATAAAAATATGTCGAAAGAAACGCCATTGAAAGTTTCAATCAGGACTGAATAAGGCGAATAACGACTACAGGTAGAAAAGCAAGCGCGGGGAATGTAAATGACTTGTCGTTTGTTTAAGTGTGCTTTGAAACTAAAATACGGGGCAATACGCCAATAGAGAAAATATCTTATATTCTTATATATCGTTGGAGAAATTATTTATTTAAGGCAAGCAAAAGAAACGTTACGACAGTGGTAAAACCCTGGCCGAAATAAGCCGAATTGCCGGTTCAGTTCATTTAGGAATCGAAGTTAATTCTACCTCGGAACTATCCGACCAAGTTTGTAAACCGTGTGAGCGAAATATCCGAAATGCAAGCGAACTGATTGCAAACGAGACATAAACGCGTTGCCTGCGCACGTTCGAACAAATAGACAGTTGTATATTAAAAACCTTAGTTGCCAATATGAACTGTCTCGTCTCCCTAACGAAGCCGTGTGGTAACGAAAGCCTTAAAAAGTTCAGAAAGTGAAGCGGCTATTAATAGGCATAGGCGTAATAGTCCTGTTATGAAACCCGTTGCAAGAAAGACTGTACGGCCGTCTGTATCTATTCTCGTTATATTTCCTCGCGCCAACAAGAACAATGTAAAAATCAAGCTTTTCCCATAGAATGATCAAAACATTCTTTCCAAGGAGTAAATCTTTAACTGCTATCTCTTGCTCGCGTTTGACAATCAGTTCGCGTTTCGACTTTCGAGAAGCTTTCAGTTTTACAACACCTATTAATTAAAGCGAACGCATGCATCATTAAAATGTCAAACGTATGTTTACATATTAAAGTGTATTCACTTTTGAGTGACAGCGGCTCAGACTCGCAGCCAATCATCAATTCCCGTCCACTGGTGGACGGGGAATTCGATTACACTGCCAAACCCAGCAGGCTTGCCCAATTTTAGGAACCGCCTGCCATGCAGGCTACTACCCAGGTTGCATCACTTTTGATTGCAAAACACCCGGGTTTATTATACATGGATTTGCTAGCAAAATAGCAGCAATTGATGAACTTGGTGTTATACTAAGATTTACTAAATGTGTGAAGAAACAACGAAAAGTATATATCAATCAGAGTCATTATCTTGATCAATTTCCGATGGGATCTCCATGCAAAGAAAGTAGCTACATGTGCAAACAACATGAAACTTCAGACTGCAAAAAATTTCACAATCCGTTATCAAACTTATGTCACAGAAGTGGTAAAGGACATATGTGACAACTGAATGGTACCTTTTGTAATTTTTTTGGCCAGGGGTGCATGGGTATTTATTTTTTAATTGATATTTGAGGTTGTGTAATCAATTTTTTTTACTTTTTAATGGTTGGGTCAGCAAAATTTTTGCTACGAAAAACATTTCTCTTCGGTGCCACCCCCCGCCATAAATAATGACCGGTCCCTTATCTGAATTGTTAACATGTCTCCTCGTCGCGAGATAATCTAGCATTTAAAGTGCAGAATAAATTAATCGAGCATTAGTAAATAATTTAACTAAATTATTGATGTCAACAGTAAATGTCCAACACAAGTCAGTGTAGAAACCAGTACAGATCAGTGGTAGAAACATGCGAGGCGAGTAATGTGCATACAGTTATATTATATTATATCAAAGTGATTAGTCAACCGCTGAACAGAAAATTTGCATTAAAATTCTTTGTTCAAGGGAAAGTCCCTTGGGAAAATCCCAGAGGGAAAGTCCCTTGGGAAAGTCCCCTCTGTTCTTAATATAAAGGTTTGTATGAATCATTGACTCACAATTCCTGCGACTTTTGGCAAGCAGTCGGGGACTTAATAAAGAAAAAATAGCAATGTAATAAAAAGGCCGTTAAAATGGCGTGAAATTTTACAGTTTACCGTCGTAAAGTTCGCTGAATATTAAAAGAATTGGCTATGGCTTTAGCTATTTGGTAAAATACGGAAGAAAGAAGCGCCTAAATATGGCTCGTTTCTTTGGTTTTGATATTTTGCAATCCCAGATTCATAAAGCGTCAGGTACTGTTGAATTAATTTTATATTTGGCTTAATTTATATAAAGTAGATAAAGTAAAGTTCTGAAACATTTCATAAGCGTTTCCTATTAATCGCATGACTATGTCTTTTGAATTATAATTTATATATCATGACTATAATAATAAAAGGTGAGTGTTGTACAGCTGTCCATTTTTCCTGAGTCGCTCAAAGAACATTGCAAGTTTGTCATGTTTCGCTCGATCGCTACTCTGGTTTAAATAAATGATTACAAAGCCCAGTCGAATTGTAGTCAAGAGTAAGACCCAACGTTTCGACACTCCAGTCTAAAGTTGCAATCGTGGCTTCTTAAATACCCAAGGGATGACGTTATCTGCCAATGAGATGCATGTAT